CGATGGTATGGATTTCATTGTTAAGTTAAAAGCTTATTCATTCAACTATTTTGTCCGTCCGCCGTATTTTGTTTTTTATTGAAATTTAATGCTTCTATGTCTTATTTATACGCACTGATTTCCGTCGTTGTTATGGTAAGAATTGCAAAGTGTTCCTCGGAGCAGAAAATGTTGTTCGAGTTCTTTTCAATATAACCAACAGAAGTATGAGAGTACATTAGCATTGCCAATCCATTTGTAACTAATCGAAATAGACCCGAATCAGACCCAACAATGTATATAAATTCTTGATCAAGGTAAAATTCTAAGCCGAGCAGCGGTGGTTTCCTGCACGTAATGGGTTCTACCTCTTGTGACAGAACATTGTCTGCTCATTAGGTCCACGTTTTCGAAAGGAAGACTTTCAAATTCAGTTTTTGATAGATACAAACCACTTTAGCCGATAGTTGTCTACATACCTCCCAATATTGGGCATTTTCTTCTCAAATTATTTATTAAACTTTGATGTTTGTTTGTTGGGATAGAGGCTTTTCTTTGAATTCTCAACATAAGAGAAATAGTAAGTAGTACTAAATATTCCACGTGTTGCCATATGGCTAGCCCTCGGAATTTTATAATTCGAGACTTTATATTCTCAATTCGTTAGAAAATTTTGCCATATATCCCTATTATATGAGCCTTTAAAGCATGCTCATATCATAGGGAAGAATTTTTGAGTATTCGATTGGAGTACTTCACGATAATATTTACAAACGTCCGTTGTTTTTCATTGAAAACATCGTAGAGAAATTTATAAATCTGACTCTTCTTACTGATCCTTACTTACAAAATACACTTGTTCTAAATGTTTCAGCATGAACGATATTTCCAATTTAAAAATTCAAGCTACACATCCCCCCTCTCCTCATTACATAGAGCCACACACACTCAATTATGATTAAACTCAATTTTAGAAATTCAGCTTCACCACTATTTACATTGGGTACACGTTTTCACAAACATACACAAATCAACACTCGCGTTGCCAATTTGTACCAAAATTCCACATTCTAGTACTAGGCTTTAAACCAAAATTTAGTACCATTTAGTACTTTTCGTTTACTATAAATTAGGCATCTTTAGAAACACCGCTTTGTCCACATCCTACGGTGGCCCTTATACCAAAACCTATGATTCCATATCTTTCCCAATACTTTATATGAACACCCACACACACTCGCAGAGATTCTAATAGCAAATTTCAGATTTCCAACTCTCGGTGTAAGTTTGATACCCTACGACACTGCACATCCAAAAACCCTTTTGACTTGAATGAAGATTACCCAATGAAACATCGCCATACAGTGTGAGATGAAAAAACGACGCCAAGGAAATGGGCGGAAGAATACAGCAACATCAGCTGAAATGGTTCGAAAAGTGAAGAAGCGACTTGATCGAAACCCGCGTCGCAGTGGTCGAAAAATGGCTCGTGAGCTGAACATATCGCAATATTCCATTCGGCAAATATTGAAAAACGAGCTCGGGGCAAAACCATTGAAATTCCAAAAAGTTCAAAAATTTACAACGCAACAGAAATAAAATAGACTCAAAAGAGCTAAGGTGTTGCCTCGCTTGGCCGAAAGTGGTGAACTGTCGAATTTGATTTTCTCGGATGAGAAAACATTCGTTGTCCAGCAGTTTGTAAACAAACAAAATGATCGTTTTTACTTTCCAAAGAAGTCAGCTGAAAATGTGCACCTTCGGTTGGCCACCAGATGGTGAGGGTGTGGCCGTCACAAGAGCTGATGGTCGCTCTCCTTTCGTATTAATCGACCGTGGCATCAGAATAAATGCCGAATATTATCGCGAAAATATTCTGGAGGGTGTATTAAGGCCTTGGGCACGCAAACAATTTGGCCGCAGACCTTGGACTCAACACCATCGCACTCAGCACGCGCCACCCTAGAATGGTTACAAAATGAGGTTCCTCTCATCGTTTCCAGCGCACAATGGCCACCAAAATTTCCGGATATCAATCCGTTGGACTATTGTTTCTGGAGTATTTTGGAAAGCAAGGTTGGCACTAAAAAATACCAAAGTGTCGATCACCTCAAGCAAGCGCTTCGCCGGGAATGGGCCAAAATACCGCAGAGCAACATTCGGGCAGCGTGTGACGGTTTCATTGGCCGTTTGAAGGTTATAATTCGTGCCAAAGGTAACCAATTCGAACAAATCTAAACTTTTTCGAAAACTTGATGCTATTTCCGACATTTTTTGCTTTCATTCAATAAAATTTAAAAGAAAAAATGTAAAAATATGGCGTTTGACTTTGTTGCAGTTTTTATCCCACCCTGTATTTATATGAACCCGACCAACCAGCAAATACTCTAATAATAATATTTCTAAATTCCACCCGTTCACTTTAAGCAAATTGCATTAAATTTAGTACCATTTAGTGCAGTTCTAACACTTAGCACACATTTCCAAAAAAAAAGAAAAACACCTCCCACCTCAAACGATTTTCCCATACCCGTCCAAATTGCAAGATTATACCCCTACCGGTTAATATAATTCAAATTGGTGCAAAATTCAGTGATTTCTAGTACTCTTGGTACACCAATTTTTGGGATTTTCAAATACGCTTTGGTTCGTCCTCCCAACACAACATCAAAAACTCTGATTTCAGACAAAAACTCTATCCCACCTCATATATCATATTTAATACTCTTCACATATGTTTACTACATATTTCCAAAACCTTCTTTAGATCTAAGACTTACACACTAACAGTGACCTCAATTCCAATAGATCAAAAATCCAGCTCTATACTTTCACCCAAACCCAAATTGTACCAAATTTAAGATTCCCTGCAATATCCCTTCCCCATATACCAAATTGTATACCTCTTTGTGTTGTTCGTATCTTTGTAGTACATATTGTACCAAATGTAGTACCATTTAGTATAGTTTTTACACTTGGTGCACATTTCTTAAACCATCTCCTTAATTCGTGTACATCCAGCCACTATTCTAAATTTCTGAATAACTGTATCCGCATGACCAATTCAAAAGCAGTCTTCTCTCACCCCACATTGACCTACATGCAAAAATAATATATAGAGAATAATGGGATCAACGGGTACCTTATACCCTCAGCCATAAGGGTACAGAGGGTATATTTTAGTTGATACGGCTAAAACGTGCTTCATTGAAATAACTGTTTAGATCCTCAGCCTCTTTGGACTAAATCCGTTTCAGAACATTTGGTGTCGATCTAGTTGTGTCCGTCCGCCAGTCTGTCTGGATGGCTGACTGGCTCGCACGATAACTCTCGAAGGGAGTATATAATTTGTTCCAAGCTTGGTACATCGAAATATTATTGTCAAACTTAGATCGAGTTCGGAGATGGGCTATATCGGTCCAAATCTTCTGGTACTTTCACAAAAAGTCAACATTTTCACACAAATTAATTTACCATTCGATCATTCGATTTTCTGCAAATTTTTCCAAATCCTTATATATTTTTCAGTCCTAAGGCAGGTGCGAAAATGGACAATATCGGCCCACTCCATCAAGAACCTCACCCACAAAGGGTCATCGTTTGGAACAAAAATATTACTCTCATAAAATGTGAAATAAGAGTCTGATTTGCTTCTTCACATATCCCAGCATTTTCATTAACATAAGATCTGCTGTAAAGATAGAATATATCGGCCAACTCTTTCAGGTTACAAAATTTTATAAAAGTCGAAATAAGCATCCGATTCACTCTAAGCTTCACATATTCCAATATTTCGACTAAATCAAGATTTTGTGTAAGGATGGAATATATCGGTTCACTCCGTCTGGTACCTTGCATACAAATGTTCGAAATTCCGAATAATTATATCTCTCATAACATGCGAAAGAAGTCAACTACTCTTTTCAAGATTTACGGAATTTTGAAGGCTTCAACTGCATTCTCCTATCAATTTTAATGAAATTTGCAGTTAGAAATAGCCTTATGGCTATTGTGGATATACCGCCAAAAATAAGTTTAATCAAAATTGTGGTTTTAAGTCACACATCGATTAGCACGGGAAAAATATTCCAAATATGAAGGTTTTAGTACAAACTCTGTTCATACTCTTTTTAAATGGGAATTAGACTAATAACCTCCAAATAATCGTTGAAATCTGACCATATATATTTTCACGCAATTGATTACAATGTGAATAGAATAACAATTTATAGTTCCTTGTTCCAGTTATTATCACTAGAGCTATTCACGATACTGGGTATGAAAAATAGTTACAGTTCTAAAATTCAGTTTTCTAAATTTTTGAAATTTAATTTATGGATCATTTTCCCGCCCATAATGAAAACCCTCTTTCGTTTCGTTGCCATGAAACTCGACTACATGCCCTCAGATTGATATTCGCTGATACTGTCGTTGTCTGCCTTTGCTGTCTGTCCGATGACATTGCAGCCATTTGCTTGGCATGTCATTATTATTAAAGCAAATCGAATTATTAGTATGGCCGATTGCAACTCACTCAAAAGTCACTCAAACAAAAAGAAACTGTCTGTTCGGTTTTCTCGGCATGTCTTCTTCTTATTGTGTGCCGCCCGGCCATGGGCTTGGCTCTAATGCTGGAATCACTGTAATGGCCGGATGGGCGGCCATGCGTTTTGGTCCAACTTGCTTGAGTGCTGTTGATGTTGCTGCTCGGCTGCTATTGTTGTCCTCCTTTTTTTTTCATTTTTGCTTTAACAGTTATTGTTGTTGACATGAGGAGCAATAAAGAGTAATGGTTGCCTTTTGTTCTTTTAGAGTGTGTCTGCCAATGATCAACATTCATTTGTACGGGCATGATGTGTTTGTTTGCATTATGGATGAAGGCATACGAATGCCGATGATCATAAACATTTGCCGGTCCTTTATTGTCATAATTCTTAATTTTAACCAAATCGAATGAGAGCAAGGCAACACCCGGATATTGTTTGACAACAAAAAAAAAATCAATTTTATTCTTTACTTACCAAAGGTGAATAAAATGCCGAACTATCAACTCCGATACTTTGGTAGGGATTCTGTTCCGTCGATGGGTATGGTGTTCCATAAACACCCACACTGGCTGCAGGTAATCTTGAATAACTTGACAAAGCCAACCGGGCCGAGTCATATTGACACGAGCACACGGTCTGACCGGAAACCGGATCAGTCATTATGGGTCGACCATTTTCACAGCAAGAACCTCCACCTGCCGATCCGGCACTATTCGACCCCAAGGGTGTATTCTCCATATTTGTAGAAGGATTTTGATTACCACTGACATTGTTTGAATGTTGTGACAGCCCGTCCGGACTCAAAGCCCCCGTTGAGACTTCTGGTGCACCACTGGTAGTGCTAGGATTATTTGTCACATTTGGTACATTTGTTGCGGCATTTGTACGACATTCCCCGGAAGGACTTTGAGCCGGAGCATTTGGACTAGTCATGGTTGCAGCAGTACCACTCGCTGTGTCGCCAGTTTGGGGAGAATGTGTGGCATTGGCAGAAAGTAACTGTAAATAAATAAAAAATTAGATTTTTTAAATAAGAATTTATTATTAATTCAAACTACGAAAAATCGAAATTGTTATCATGCAAAATTAGACAATCAGATAATGTGGTTTCTACATAAAGTATTGCTAATTTTGGATTTGTCAAAAAATAAAAACAATTATATATTTACGAATATAAATTTCATATAAATCAGCTCTAGATGTGCAGCATGGTTCCTAGTCTCCAAGTACTTAAAATCGTTTTTGTGTTTCTGTGTTTCAGGTAATATTTATTCTGAGAAATCTATCGTCCAATTTATTGACGAAACTTTTTAGAGATATTTTTTGCGAAACATTTCCGAGAAATTTGCATCCAATGGTAAATGTTATTGAGTTAAAAATATCATACACTACCCCCCCCCCCCCCCCCCCCACAAAAAAAAGGAAGCAATTTTTTTGTTTTTGACTATTCTGCTATATTTGTTTATTTTTTGTTAAAATAATTTAGAAATCCTTCAAAATTTTGCAAATTTAGTTTTGCGTTTTCCAAACGAATAATTAATGAAAGACAAATGTTATTTCCGATCCTTTTCCAAGAAAAATAGAACGAATACTACATCAGAAGCGGAAGCTTGTTCAAAGATTTATTCCGATTTCAGTTCGAAAATATCGATAAACAGGTAAAAAAAAAATTATGTTCGGCACCTTTGAATTGGGTAATGAAAATATTTTGTATATAAAAGTATCTGAATTCAAACGTGTTCCACTTTAAGCAACAAATACCAGCAAGGAGCCATACAAAAACGGGAACCTTTGACAATATTATACTTTAAGGATTGTCATCTATCAAATCTTCTTAAATACCCAATTTGAAACAATTACGTGGGTAAGTGTGACTAGGAACCTACCGAATATCGGTAGGTACCGTTAAATTGTGGACCTATACTTATAATGTTTCGCCACCGATGCTAGAACCCATTCTGACCTACAAATACCAATTTTAAAACAAATTCCTGAAAAACCCCAATATTGGTAGGTACCCTATATGGAGGCTATACAAAATCGTAGACCTATACTTATAATGTTTCGCCACCGAAGCTAGAACCCATTATGACCTAAAAATACCAATTTTAAGACAAATCCGTGAAAAAGTGTGGCGAAGATTATCAAAATACCGAATATAGGGAGGTATAGTTATATGGCGACAATATCAAAACGTGGACCGATATATCCCCTTTTTTAGTGCCAAACATCCTAGACACAATACATATTGTTCGGCCAAATAATGTGGGCTGTATCGTCATTTCAACAGACAGACGGATAGACAGACAAACAGACAGACAGGCGGACAGACAAACAGACATCGTTAAATCGACATAGAATTTAATGCTGATCATGAATATATACTTTATGTTGATGTTATGATGTTACAAACCAAATGACAAAGTAATATACCCTCCTTTTCAAGGTGAAGGGTATAAACTTCAATATTATCACAGATTCTTAGCTAGCTATAATTCAGATACTAGTACCTGCATGGACATCGAATCGATCTAGTTAATTATACCCTACACCACATAGTGGTAAGGGTATTATGTCTTTGTGCATTTGTTTGTAACATGAAGAAGGAAGCGAGATAGACCCATAGTTACTTTTGAGGATCTCCATAGAATCACTTTCTGAGTTGATTTATGCATGTCAGTCCGTCCGTCTGTCCATGTATTCTTGTGAACAAAATGCAGGTCGCATTTATTATCCGATTGAGATGAAATTTTGCACATATCATTTGTTTGGCCCAAGGACGAACCCTATTGAAATTGGAGATAATCGGTTAAAATTTAGATATAGCTCCCATATATATCTTCGTCCGATTTGCCTTCTATTGTGCACCAAACGTGTAATATCAGTCCGAATAGTATAAAATTTTGCACAAAAATAAGTATGCCAAATTTGATCGAAATCGGTTCAGATATAGCTATAGCTCCCATATATATTGTTCATCCGATTAGTTATTTTTGTCCTCCGCAGCCGTAATATGCACTCTGTAACAACAATATTTGAGGAAATATATCAAATACAGCTCAGAAATACCTTTGCTAAATTTTATCGAAATCGGTTCAGATTTGGATATAGCTCCCATATATAACTTCGTCCGATTTACCTTTTATTGTGCACCAAACGTCTAATATTTGCCCAAATGGGATGAAATTTGGTACTTACGACCGAATTGAGCTAGAAGCTAGTATGTCATATTTGGTGAAGATCGGTTCAGATATAGCTATAGCTCCTATATATATTGTTCATCCGATTTGTAGTATTTGTTACCCACAGCCGAAATATGCACTCCGTAACAACGATATTCAGGGAAATATATCAAATTAGGCCTGAAAATAAGTATGCCACATATGATCGAAATCGGTTCAGATATAGCTATAGCTCACATATATATGGTTATATATATCTTTATATATCTTTATCCGACTTTAAATTAATTTAGCACCAAATGGGCAATACAAGTCCGAATTTAAAAGTTACAAATGATTCGGCATATTTAGTCCTTTGAACTTTAAATTATAATTATAATCATAGCGTGTATGATTGAATTTTCCCATAAAAACTTTTAATTGTTATGTGGAGCTCTACTAAATTAGCAAAGTGGTGTATTATCACATCAAGCGCAAGGTCTTACATTTTCTTCAAGCTTTCTTACATACATAAATAACTTAACTGCATCTATCAATTTCCAAAACCCTATTCAAAATGATCATATAAATTATGCATCTACTTTAGCACACATCCGCCGCCTACTGTTAAATCCCATTCCCAAGCTATTAAATATAACAGTTAAATGTGTCTACTCAACATATCTATGGAAATCTATCCGTAAATCAGCTATCAATGCTTGTATCGATAGTTGTTTTTTTGAATAGTTTTTTTATCGTTGTTATCTGATTCAGTAGCTTGATTTTGTGTGAAATTTTTAAACTGTGATAAGTATCAGTGAGCCAACCAGGCTGCAAGACAGTGCTAGCTCATCGTCGTAAACTATCCGTAAGTATGAAAGAGCGGAGCAATGGTATTCACATAGTGTTGGGCAAGCAAAGTAAACTTTAACCACTAATTTTTCCGTTTTAAGTGTCATCAAAAATACGGGCTTTGTTCAGTTTGTTTATTTCGATTTGATTCAGTATTTTCTTTTGCATTATTCAGAAGAAAAAACAAAATAATAAGTGATACCGCCGAACGCGGGCCCATTTATAATCGCCTGATTTGAATAGTTAATTTTGTTAATCGTGTCGTGTTGTTAAATGTCACCAAATTGAAGAATTATTATAACGATTTCCAGACTTTTTGTTGAATTAATTAGCCTCCAAATGAAGAATTGATTGTGGGAGATTTTGAATGAAATCGTGCGAGCTTGTGGTTGGCCAAATACCATCTGTGCGAGCCAATTGGATGTTGAATATCCATATTTATTATTCATAAAAAGAGAAAAGAAAAAAACCAAAACAATACCAAAGAGTTTTCTTTGCCCGAGGACCTACTTGTTTCTTGCAAAAGTAATGTTCATGCTTCTTCCTGCAATTAGTTTTAGCGTTACTAATAACAGTAATCAAGGCATAGAAGTAATAATAATAATTATTAATTAGTAGAGTATTTTATATAAAATCCAGAAAGGAGAGGATGAACGTCGAATGAGGGGTATTATATGATACCATACACCTTCCTAGATACGATTCCGTAAAAAAATTAATGCGTATGATTCCAGATTCAAGATCATCAAACGTTACTGTGGATCGTTTTTGACCTTCTTCTTCACGTTGAAGACAACTGCGATGTAGGGTAAAAATCTAAGGGCACAGTGTTTAAATTTGTTTATAACGTTCGATATAAGAGGATATCCAGTTAAAACATCCATCAACAATCAAAAGAAAAACATAGGAGTGGAGAAGTTGAATACAAATTCAACTCTAGCGTTCAAAAAGTAGAACGTTTTTTTGGTGTTTTTGTAATTACTTACTTCCTAAGCCAAGTGTGGAATGGAATTTTCTAAAAGTTGGTATTTAGTGTACCACCTTCTCTCACAGTCGGTTTGTCGGTCCACGTTTTTCGTGCAAAGAAAAGAGAGGACCGCTGTAGAATAAGGTGTGGCCTAATATAATTAATTTTCGCAGCTGATCTAAGTCTTATCTAAAATGTTACGATGTAAAAAGTTTAAATTATAACGGGTACTCCCTTAGCTCAATCTGAGATTTTAAATATTTTTGCAAAATGTTTCAATTTTGTGAGGGAGTATCAGAAAAGGTGGGCAGATATATTCGATATACACAACGATTTTAATGTATGTAGAAATTGGACACCATAGCTGGACTGATTTTAACGATTCATACAAATTCGGAATTGTCTTCTGTCCGAAAAGGATAATATTCAAAAAAATCGCGTAAGAATGTGATATATTAACATTTTCATTTTGACTTTTGAAATGTACAATAGCAATGTTTTATTTTGCATGATTTTTTCCATTTTGACTTACTTTTTTCTAATGTACATTTGTAGTGTTTTTTATATTTTATTTTTGAATTTGAATATTAATATAAATTTATTAAATTGACTTGATTTCTTGAGAACGCGGTCACACCAAAGTTAAAAGATAATTATTTTTTCAAAATCGCTAAAAAATCACGAAAAAGAGATCTCATTGCAAAAATTCTCAAATCGGGAAAAAATCGAAAAAAAAATCAATGGAATCGAATTTTAAAATAATAGTACATTCCATTGACAAACTTTGTAAGGATCTTTAAACATTTGCTGTAAAAAGTCAGCGAACAAGTTGAAGATTTTTTCAATTTGTTATTCTTCTTTTGTCAATTTTTTTCAATTTGTATTATCATATTGATTTCAGTGAATTTTTGTGAACAAAATAAAGAATAATTTTACACTATATACATTTTTTCACCAAATAAATGAAATAAGTGCGAAATAGGATGTTAACTAACATCTACCTTTCAACTCCAGGGCCT